CAATGCACTAACAGCAGCAAGGAATGCAAACAGAAAGAAACCTGGGTTTTAAGCCAACATTTGCAGTATTAACCTCAAGCCAGCAGAAAAAGACTGGCTGACCAGGAGGAAGGGAGAGGCAGTAGCAAACAAAGGAGGCATCACAGGTTCAGCAAGTCAGCAGCAAAAAGGGGACTTGGCTGTGGGTTCAGTCAGAATTCCAAGATCTTTCTTCTCATGTGGTGGTCTTTCAGATTTTGCTTGTTGACTGCCATAGTTTAGATCCTGAATATCCTCCCAAAACTCATTTGCTAAAGGCTTAGACCCCAAGATGGTGCTAGTAGAAGGTGAGGTCTAGCAGGATATCCTGAGGTCTTTGGAGGTATGCCCTCAGAAGGAGACTGTTCCTCAGCACCTTCACCTTCCTCTTACACTCTCTGGCTTATGATGCAGATGGGCTTACTTGGCCACATGTTCAAATGCCATCCAGTAAGCCCAACAGAGAGGCCCAAAGTAATGAGCTTACCTGTTCTTGCACTGGAAACTCTAAAACAATGTGCCAAAATAAACCTTTCCTCTTTATAAATTGGTTATCTTGGGTATTTTGTTACAGCAACAGAAAGCTCACACATTAACTCTCTTAAAAAAATTTTTTTTTAAAAACAAAATGGTTCAACCCCGCCACAATTTTAAATGGACATTTACATTTCTTCGTCATTAGTTTATACATGCAAAAGTACATTTTCTAGGCTACCATAGACAAGCCTTTCAATACATTTTTGTCACAGTTTTTTTTTTTCCTTACTAGGGACAAAATCCAGGCTCTGGGACTGGGGATTTAGCTCAGCAGCACAGCGCCTTCCTGGCAAATGCAAGGCTGTGAGTTCGATTTCTGGTACTGGGAAAAAATAATCCAGGGCCTTTGCATTGAGCTACTATCTCAGCCCTGTATTTGAGGTAAGGTCTTGCTAAATCACTAAGTTAGCCAAACTGGGCTTAAACTTGGTATCTCCACGGCTCAGCCTATCAGAGTAGTGGAATTACAGCCATGTACCACCACACTGCTTTTTGCCATAGGCTAAACCCATTTGGCTTGTTCTCCTTGTTCACACTATGATCTGCTTGCCAAACCCAACCCTCACTGTCAACTTGTCGGCCAAATCCAAGTCACAAGACAGTGGCAGTAGTGAGGAGCAGGCACAGATGATTTGGAATAGATAGGACACATCAGTCATTGGATGTAGGAGTGGGAAAAGACAGGTAGGAGGTGAGGAAGGAGAAGATCTGATAACTATGACAGGTTGGTAAGGAGAAGGAGGTGCTGGGCTGACCTATATCAGCAATAGTCCCCACTTTGGGTGTAGATATTTTATCATTCCTATTGTGAAGTCTATAGTCATAGCAGGTAGCAGCTGCACACATTTCCAGCATGTGAAACAGGGAGGCAGGAAACAGTTCTTAAGTTCCTTTTCTTCATCTTTTTTTTTTTTTTTTTTTTTTTTTTTGGTACTGGGTATTGAACCCAGGGGCCTCACATAGAGCTATATGCTCATCCCTATTTTATTTTTTATCTTGAGATAGGGGCTCTTTCAGTCTCCAAGTTGCCTAGGATGAACTTCCAGTCTTCCTGCCTCAGCCTCCAGAGTGCTGGGATTAGCGCCAAATTCCTAACTTTTTACAGAGTTCACATACAGTGTAGAATAAACCTTGCCTGCTTGGGTCACCCAAAATTCCACTCTTTCTTATAAATGTTTGCCCACTCAATCTGACTCCAAATCAATCATCTTGGTATGTAAAACAACCCAACATACTTTTTCTCAGATGATAAATCACATCTGCTTTTAGCTTACTGTTAGATAGAATGTAAAGAATTGAGGAGATCCACTAAAACAACTCCATTAAAAAAGCTAAGTTCAATCAAAATGTATTTTTATATTTCACAGTAAATATAAAAATACATTTTGATTAAACTTAATCTTAAACTAAACTATGCAAATAAGTTTATGTTAACAGGTTATATTTGCAATTATAAATGAATGCTTGGGATAAAAACGAGCACAGTGTGTTTTAAAGGTATAGACAAATACTGTAAGACAATTTGTTATCAACTTACAGGGGGGATTCTGAGGAGGGTGGGGAAGCAGACCCTAACCGTAACCCTAACCCTCAGAGGTTTCAGTCTGTGGCCACTGGGCCCTGTTGCTTTGGACCTGTGTTGGTACAGTAGATCATGGTGGCAGAAGCACGTGATGTAGGAACTCTGTTCACCTCCTAGTGGCCAGGAAGCACAGAGACAGAGGAAAGGACAGGGTCCCCATATCCCTTTCAAGGCCTGACGACTTAATTTTCTCCAAGTAGACCCCACCTCTTAAAAGATCAATCACCTCTCAGTAATGCCACAGGCTACAAATCAAACCTTTAGCATACAGGCTGTTAGGCGAACAATGGACCCAAACCCTAATAGATGCGGAAGCTTAGAAATGGATCTGTACTTGACAGAGTCTCCATATGGGTATGAAGTCAACAGATATTTTGATTTTAGCCTCAGGAGACCCTTAGCAGAAAATTAACTAAAACATACTAGACTTCAAGTCCACAGATATTGAGGTAATACATTTGTGTTGATTTAGGTCACTAGGTTTGTGACAATTTCTGTGTTTAACAAAAACAAATTAAAAATACATGATTTTTAAAATTTTTAAACTTTTTTTTTTTTTTTTTGGTGGCATGGGAGACTGAACTCAGGGTTTTTATATTGAGGTAAGTCCACAGCCCTTTCATATTTATTTTGAGGTAGGGTCTTACTAAGTCATTTTTATGTCCAGGCTGGCCTTAAACTTGACATCCTCCCACATCACCCTCCCTCAGTACTGGGATTACAGGTGTGTGCCACCATGCCCCATTTTATTTATTTATTTATTTATTTTTAGATAGGGTCTCACTATGCTGCCAAGGCTGGCTTTGAACTCCTGGGCTTAAGTGATCCTGCCTCAGCATCTTGAGGAGCTAGCTGGGACTAGAGGAATGTGTCACTATGCCTCAATTACTTTTTTTATAAATAGAAAAATTTGATATTCTTTTTCTGATTAAAAAAGTACATACTCATTGCAAAAATGTCAGAAATTTCAGGAATATACATAAAATATTTTAATTCTAGAGCTAACCACTGTTAATGGAAAGTTTTACTCTTTTTTGTTGTTTTTATGATGATATTAAGTATAGTTTTTTGTTACAATTTTCAATATGTACCCTCGTATGGTTTCATGCATATCTTTCAGAAACAATAAATATTAATAAGCATCACTTTCTAAACTATGTCTTATACATTCTACAAGATATTAATCAATTTTATAAGAATAAAAGTGTGCAAAATAAGTTTGGAAAAATGGCTTATATTCTCTTCTTGGATAATTACATAAAACCTCGAGGAAATCTGACAACAAAGAACAAAACAATTTAACTTTGGCATTATTTAAGATAAAGCTATTTTCCACCAGGGGATATATTTTTCCTCTTGCATGTTTCTCATTAATATCAATTCACACCATGGATGATTTAAATGACCCCTGAATGAAACAATGCAATATACATAACTTTCAGTGAGGACCATTATTTTTCTAGAGTTTGAGATTTTGAATTAAATTATGTGGATCTCATTTTTGTATTAACCAGTGCATAACAAACTATTTCCCATGGTATAATCACCAGCAAGGCAATAAACAATCTTTTAAAACTTTTTTTTTTAAAGCAAGAGCTATGCAAACAGGGCTGTGGGTGTAGCTCAGCGGTAGACTGTATCAAGGAAGCACACTTTATGGTACCATCATTAAATATTATTTATAGTTGTATATTTTTAGCACTGCATTTTACTGAGATTTTGCATAAACTGTCATGTAAATGGAGGAAAGTCAGAAAGATGATAGGCTCATGTTGGCATTTTAAATAAATGGAATTAGATATTTTTGTATAGATACAGAAGGCAAAACCAGAATCAACATGGTTGAAAGAGGCAAGAAGTTTTTGGATCAATAAAAAATGTAATTGCAAAAATGGTATCAATGTATAAATGAACTGGTCTGGTTAATTCATCATCACCAGCGATAGGTAAGGGTGGGAAACAACCTGCCTGAGATATTGGGGGAACTTCCCTTTATCTGTGCAAAACTGAATGCTCCTAAAATTGTTTCCTACTGTAGACTAAAGAGTCTTCTGCCCTAGTGGAATAGCAGCAAAATCCCCAGATTAGATTAACTAAACTCAAGAAAATTAGTTCTGTTCTTTTTGAAGAAAGCCAATTTTGGACATCAGTGTGCTGCTTAACAAGGTTGTGGCAGTCGACCTTCATGCAGAACAGGATCTGTGGAGTTGTTGTACATGACCAGTTTCTAACAACACTGCAACACACAAATCATCGGGTTTAATGAGCTGTACTGTCGCACACTATCCTTTCGATATAGTAATACGTAACATGATCACCTTACCCGAAATAGGTTACTCCTCTTGTATTACAGATGGCCATATTTACACTGTTGATAGGAACAATAGGTTCTGGTTGGAACTAGCGCCTGTATATCTCTAAGACAGTGCCCTATTCACGAGTATCATGGCCCAGGTAAGCGCTCCATCTTTTCCACTCAGCTTTTGTGGAGTACTGGACTATTACTGAGCACATTCTAGTTTCTCAGTTCAAGATTTCAGACCCACAATATTTTTCCGTGTGCGTATTTATAACAGCTAGGGGCATCACAACATTCCTTTAGTGGGCTGGCGCCAAGTCAACACTAGAACAGCTCTCACTACCAAACACCAAGAACCCGCGCGCCCACTTGGCGGGCTCTGCTCCCAGTTTCCGTACAAATGGAGTAGAACGGGAGGCCCCCGCAGATGACGTAGTTCCGGGGCGTTGCGCAGCAGGTACTTCCGAGGAAGCGGATGCAAGGGGCGGGGCGTTGCTGAGGGCGACCGGGCCGCGGGCTTGAGCGTCTGGAGGGAGCCGGGGCGGGGCGGGGAGGGGCGGGGCTTGCTGCCGGCGCCGGCCCGTGGGTTGCAGGGCGGGGCTGGGCGCGGCCTCAGCGCCTCCTAGCCGCACCGACTCCTTCGGCAGCCAGTGCTCTCTGTTTGTGCGGCCTCTCCTCGCATCCTGTGCGGCTCCACCCTCGGTCCCTTCTCAGCTCTCGGAGTCGCCCCTGGCGCCGCCGCCCGACCCGCAGGCCGCCGCGGGCCGCGGAGCCCATG